TTCAATAAAATACTTATGTACTTGCAGAGATAAAAGATAGATGCACACGACACTTTTGCAGAGATAAAAGATAGATGCACACGACACTTTTGCATGTTTAACTCAGGGGTTGACATTTTAAATGAAGTTAGTCTAAATCATGATTATCAATCATTTACTGATTCCAAAAAGCTAATTTAAATAGAAACAAGTGGCTGGAATGGAGCAAAAATCCTGCCAGCCCAGATTGTGTTTAACACGTGCATTTATACATGTACTTCTATTCTGAATGGCTCACATAGGGCGATTTGCAATTCAGAATGTACAAAACCTGGAAAAATTACCAATCAATTGAAAGAAAATTTAAAATATTGATCTGAATAAGTAATTTCTTTTAAATCGTTGATTTAAATCGCAATTTAAATCGGTGATTTCAAATCGGCCAAACAAGGGAGGCGTGTAAAAAAGGGAGTTTAGGCACGGAAGCGTGACTGTAGGCCTATGTAGGCGTGTGTTTCCGTGATTGGCAGGCCTGCATGAATTGGGGCCCAGCTACCCAGGCCGTTGTTCAGTTCACCTTGTCCTCTCGGTTAGCTCTTTGCCGTTTTTATTGTGTAGTGCTACTGGTTCAACCTTGCTGTTTCAATGATGTAGACCCAATTTGGAAAAGTATATACGCTTGGAGTGTGTAAACTTTTAACATGGATTGTCGGGGATTGGCCAAGAGTTACTAGTTTTGCTGTGCAAAAGCAGACCTTCACATTTATTTTTGAATGTACATTGTATATTGCAGCGTAATGTAGCGTCCATAACACAGTATCACTTAAGCTATTAGACTGGTAGTTACGAAAATCGGTGAAAACTCAACCTGTACTTTCAGTCTCGACGTTTGACATATTTAAAACCGCGGTTAGGTATTTATTATTGTGGTTCATTGCCTGGAAGGACAAAATGCCCTTGAGATTTTCCGCCTCAGAAACGAGTTAATTAGGATTTCCCGCAGCGAGACTCACAGGCCCTTTTCAGGTCACTCGATGGTTTTGCTGCATTCCTTAGATAATTTTTTCTTGATACTGATACCCATGCCACACCAAAAACGAAATTAGCTGAACTCCATCTCGACATCAAGCACTCAGTGGGTGTACCTTTAGGGGAGTGAGGTGGTCATGGACTTCAGCTGTATTGCATTATTCTTTCACCTTAACCAATGTCCATGCATGATGCATGGTCAACTTGACCCTCTACACTTAGTGCTCCCATGGAGCATGGAGGTAGAAATAGATGGTGGAAGGTTTCCATCAAAACTTAGAGATGGAGTTTTCTTATAAGTGTAAAATTGCAATCTGAAATCGGACGGGTGAGCTCTACTCTTAACCGACGCTCCAGTCATGACGGAAGTTATTAATGTTCAGAATATTTTGTAACGGGAAAATCAACACGACAACAAACACACGTGTGGTGACGTGGTGTATCCTGGTGTAACACGTACATCCTGGTTGAGTCCGGGCGGCCAAATGAGCATGGTTTCTTAAATTATTGTCCATTCTTATTTCACTTGTAAAAGAACTTCGCCTCTTTCAAACGAATGTCATTGTAATGTTTCTCAAATGTTGGCACTGAAAAAAATGACAAGTTAAAAACTTCGCTCCACTGATACGAGTGCATTAATAGATGTGTGTCATTTTCAACACTAAAACACGTGAACAACTTGTGAACATTTTTTAGATCTCATGTGACCCGATTGTTTGAATTACTTTTTACAAAAGTGAGATTCAGTAAGTGAATAGGAAGCGTTAAAAAAAGAGCGCTAGAGCTTTCAATTCCTTTCAAACATCTATAATGGATATATGATTAAAACAAAGTACCTGAAAACCACGTCATTTTTAGTTCATATAGAAAGTCGCATAGTCCGCAATCAAGCACCGCGTGTGTTTCATCGTTTGGAAGGGCTCGTGTTGAAAGCATATAGGCCTACGGGGTCCATCAGAGACAATTCTAATGCCCTTGGCCGTATTTATATTATACATGTACCAAACTTCCTTTTGTGAATTACCAGTCAGCCTTGACAGAGTTTCTTTTGAAAATGATTTTCAAAACAAGATATAGGCAGTTTGGCTCAGGGAGAAAACGTCATGCTTGCCAGTAACAACAGCCTGTTTAATGAGTTTATATCTTTCATTTAACGAGAAAGGTTCAAAACATTCGAAAAACTGTGGTAGGTATAAGTCGAGGATTTTGGATTCTGCATTAAGTGTTATATGGGAGAGAATGAACCGGTTGAAAACCAGTTCGAAATAGTGATTCAGTCAAGTCGTACAATTATACACGGCAGACAGTTTGATACTGTTTCTATGCATGTATTCAATGTGTTGTTAAAACACTTTTGAACGATTACATTGTACCTTGTAGACTACTAACAGAACAATTTTGCCGAACACCAGAAGTCATGGGAAACGTCACCAGGAATTTTGGATGTGTTTCTTTATTGGTCAATTTTCGCTTAGTATTTTGATTTGCTTAGTGTTTCCTTTTGGCCGTTCTCAGTGAGCAGCAAACTCACAGTGTGCCTAGTGTACAAATTTCCTGTATTGCAGCAGTGCGTGCGTTATTTCGAATCAAAATGGAATGGATTGTAAAACAACCTTGCAAACAAACATGGCCCAGGAGATGGAGAACGTGAGACTGATGACAAACTGATATCCCATTTCGCCATCTGCTTCTAGAAAAGGAAAACTATTTTGGCCAAATGCATTACAGCTTTTCCGGCTATGCATGACTCACGAACTGATCGTGTAGCGATGATAAAGCTAATTGATACAGGACCATTGCGTGTACATGTACACGTTGGCCTAAGTACAAGCGCAGGTGTAATGTACCAAAGTTAGCAGCACATAAACGTGTGCTTTCACTTTAAATATATCAAATACTTCAAATAAAAACGCACCTTTTGCCATTTCCGTCATGTGCCTTGGATTGAAGACAAGAGTTACCCTCATTTGGATAATTATTATGTAACCCCGAGGATTAATTTGGACAAAATTAAGCTCAAATGAACTGTCCAATCTTTTCAGTGGTTTAAAGTAAAGTTAGGAAATTCAAACGGCCATTCTATAACTTGTATATAGCAGTGACTGCATATGCGTGGCGTTGCTAGACCATTTATAAATGGGGGTGCCATCGGAAATTCACCGACGGACCGTTGGCAGAGTTTATGAGTGTAATGGTAGTGTGATCCCCGACCTGGCACTGACCTCACTTCCCTCCCCGCCGTCCTTTCCTCTTCCTCTTCAAGTCTTACCCACAGCACCATGATTTGGCTGAAACCCCCACAACCCATATCGGTATGGTGTGTATTTGTGGAAGAAACGACTTGTTAATCACGTAACATACGTACAGTTTATTCTCACAATATTAAAACACGAAAACCGAAATTCAACAGTGTATGACGTCCTTTCTGGTTGACTTGGTTTACGTTTGAAAGAAAAACAGCAATCTCATGGCATCATAAAAAGGTCAAACCGTCAGAAGGGTGCTTTCAACACAGACTGACCCATGCACCCCTCTGTTGTCGTTGACCTAGCTGTTTCATTGCCACACTTAAAATATTCATAAATTCAAGGGTTCAACGACGGTGAGGAATTCAAACATTATGCTGAAAGTTAACACTGCAAGGTCTACTCTTTCAATCCGGTATTGCCCACAGAGTAATGCTTTAATAAAAAGAGTATTAAAGGGCTTTCCTAAAACGAGCCGCATAACCTCGTCTATCTCTGTTATGTTCAGATGTTAAGATGTTTTCATCGCCTGTGAAATATTACTGTCCCCAATAAAGTTTCACTAAACCCAAGTTGCTTTCAATTAGATTGGAATTTTTTCACATCGTAGTGGGTTGAGCAGGGGATGTTGTTTTTAACCCGTAAATCAGTGAACCTCAAGATCCTCAACTAACAAGCGCTTGTTGAAATATTTGTTAACAACTTCCTCTATCACTCTTTTGTTATATTAAGAGTGGAAAGACAATGAACAGATCTACTGGATTTAAACAAATATCTGTATTTGCTATTCAGATGGGGCAGATGGAACAGTGAAGTTTCAGTATTTGGCTACAAGGCCAGATGTAGACCCTTGGGGCCGGGGGTGGGGGCAAATCGCTGTGCGTCTCCAGTACACTTTTGCTTTAGCTGATCATACCAGTCGCAATTAAGCAGCTGCTCAGAAACAGTTTCATGAACAAAATGGTTCTGTAAATACTCTAGATATCTTCACTGAAATCGATTTTTAAAAAGTCCTCATCTTTTTTTGGGAGGGCAGGGTCCCTCTACCCCTTCCGAAACCGCTCTTGTATGACTATTGAAATTTATGCCAATCCATCAAGGATTTGAAAGAAGATTATTAGCCATTCATGAGTTTTCTCACTGTTGAAATCCTCAGCAGCGTATCCAGCTTTTGGTGTGTGTGGTATTTTTTTTGGGGGGGGGTGTGAATTCAAAAGCGAATGCGGCTTTGTTTTCATTCAACATGATGTGGGGATCAAATCAAAATCTTACCAATACAGTCCCGACATTTTTACTTTTATTTGCTCGTGTATTTTTCTTAGGGATCTGGTGCTAGCATTTGATAAATAAATATACTAATTACTAGCCTGTGAAGAATTATCCGTAAAAACTAAAGGAAAAATCCTTGGGGCAACTTGCCTTCTCCGCCGGATACGCCACTGTTTATCGATTTACATATCGATATGTGTAACACTTATAACTATTAAACTGCGACCTTTGGTGTTACAGTCCCATATACATGTACTGTGCTTTTTAAATTTGTTTAGTACAACTACCTATTGCTCATGATTATCTTCCACAGACCTAGTATCCTCTTTACAACAACTAAATACAGATTTTGTTTGATTTTTGATTTGTTTTGCACTGACATTGGTGTAACTTGCGGAAATACTTGACACGAATTGCATAAATACACACAAAAATAAATACTAATGATATCAAGCCGTTTCTTGTTTCAATATGCAGTGTCTTGAGACCGACAGCTTATTCTCCATTCTTGGCATTCAACCCAGCCATGGCCTGGACGAAGAGAACTTCAACCGGGCATGCGTCGTGCTCATGTATTACGTAGCCGACCTGAATTCCACATGCGCAGCCGCAGCCAATTTGTCAGTCCTGACGTACGAAGACTTTGCCCAGAATATTCTAAAAAGATTAGACAGCACGCAGAATCTGTCGGAAGAAGAGCTGGAGGACGTTTTGGATGCAGTGGCCAAGACCTACAAAGCTAACAACTTCGCCAAGGTACTTTATTTTCCTGAGAATTTGCCCAACACCTGTAGCCCCTGCTTTTGTAGTAGCTCTTTGGTCACATAGCGAAATACTGTTTCCAGTGACGTGCTGACAGTTACAGAGCTACAACTCAACCAACGCCCTGTCAATAGCCCCACCCCTTCCAAATGTATTCTTGGTCTGTTTTCCTGTAGACCTTTTTCCTGTGATATCACGATCGTGCTTGACCCCGATGTGTTGTGATGGTAATGAGCGCGTAGTGTTGTGATGGTAATCGACATATTCAAGATAAACTATTCAGGCATGCAGCGTGCGCATGCCCTTAGTTGAGGCTGCTTATAGGAATATATGCGAAAACCGTGGCCAAGGCGGTCCACACGTGGTGGTATTGTTTACATTTAGTTACCTGGGTGAAAAAGAAAACCGATTTGCGATAATTATAATAATGAATATCTTTAATGTGCATGTACAAATGTGCTCATTGCGCTATTTTAAAGAATAAAAAAGTCAGAGACGAAAACTGCATCTCAATTACATATATATGTACATGTATTATTACTAACTCCCTGGCGGTTAGATTTGAGTAATGTGATGATTAGAAACTGTGATACAATGGCCTCGTTTTCTTTGCTGCCGCACAGTGTTTCACCGCAGAAACTGTCTTCGAGGCGGCCGTAGCCAACCATCAATTGGGAGCAGACGACCACGAGCTGGAAAATGTGGCGGCCATTTTGATATCCAGTCTTGTCCGTGGGTTTTGCATTGGTAACGCCACCGAGTTAGATCCAGAGGCGTTCCTGGAGGATATATTT